ATCCAGAATGGGCGTTTTTTTGTCGCAATATATCACGTTCGTTGCTGATTTGTCTTTTGTTATCAGCCTGAGTCCAGTTTCGAACAAAAAAAGTTCACTTTCGAAGGTTATTACACTATTATTACTGGATTTAGCGAATGTGTGGTTTGTATCATACAATTTACATTTTTCTCTGGGTCAGAAAAAAAATGTTGTTTCCACTTTGGTTGCAACAATTAAAAATGGTATCATTTATATTCAACACACGCGTTTACATTGAGCGATATAGGCTATCAATGCTCTGCACAAAATATAAGCTAATCGATTCGGATAGAATTTCATTGCAAACAAAAAATGCAGCATTCAATTTTCACTTGTTGTTAATAATTGATGTCAATCAATTAATTCCCAATTAAGGACTATTCAAATTATCGCATTAAATATTTGAAAAAGCCAGCGAATAGCGCTTAAATTGGGGGCTTAAAAATCAATAAATTTTACAATCACTTCCTTCTAAATTCGATTCGATAAAATCACACTTAAATCGCCTTTGATCCGAAAATGAAATAAATCAATTTTATTTATGTATTATATACATGTTTAATTACATTCATACGCTATTTGACCGTCGAAGCCTTCACCGTAATTATTTTCTCGATTCAAAGTCCCAAATCGTCGTAACTCTCTATAGACACAAATAGTAATCATAATAATGTAGAATACATGTATATTTTGCCGATAAACTTCAAAAGGCATTCAAATGTTTTAATGAGAAATGTACATATTTGCACGTATATTCTACATAAACACTATCTTACGGGCTTCAAGTTAAGGTCAAGTTTGAGAATGGAGTGTTTGTGCATGCGAGATTTGGTGAAATAAAATCACTTTTGTCAAGTCATCAAAAATATATAATTCAATGTCAACTGCTAATTTTGAGAAGAAAAAAAACCAAATCCTTGTTACTATATAACGATGGAACAAATTTACAAATCATTTAAGGAGTTCAAATGATCATCACCAATGCGATTACTTGACAATTTTTTTTGTGCGACTCGTCTATTTGAATGGCGATGAGTGCACTGGCACAGGTGGTAAACAAATTCATGGTCTATTATTTTGTCAAATACACATTTAATTAACTGCTCAATGCTATCGATGAAACAAAATAATTCAAATAACAAGATAAACAATTTCAAATACAGTATCATCAGATCAATATAACATATCAAGTGACTGAGAAAAAGAATTGTTTTTTTTCTTGCACAACAATGAGTTTGTTTTGAACGAAATCATATTAAGTGGCAATAAAAGAAAAGATTGGCTGACGCCAGTCGCTAATATTGCAATTTTGTTTAATCACAACTTAGGAAGACTAGCGCGATAATTGTCAACCGCATAAAAGTTACATGCAATTTAGAGAGTCGCGTCCCAAAGACCCCATTGAATTTAGCATTTGATTTCAAAGAATCACCACTAAACAATGAGTCGCGAAGAAATACATGTTTCGTTCAACATTCATGATTTCAATTAAATCAATTATCTTAAGCACTTTTTTATTTCGTTTGTTTTCTGAAAACAATTGGCGTAAATAACAGCTATTTCTGTTATTTTTTGTGTGTTAACTTTTCAATCTGTGCTGAGAGTGGTTGATGTTCGTGATTCTTTTAGATTGGCGATCAATTTGTATGATTAAGAATGCACAAATCAATTTATTGTTATTATTTGCGTTCAATTCCTAGTTACATATGCTTAATAGCGATCTGACTTTGCGACGAAAAAAAATATCACAAATTAAATACATCAACGAAATGTAACTGGAATGGAGTGGAGAGATAAAATGTTTCTGATTGAGTTGTGCCTCCATAAAAATACGATTGACCTCTAGAGAGTTGTGAACCAAGGCAACCATGTCTACACAAACACTCATTATAATTGCATTGTGTACATTTTCGTTGGCGACTTTTTTTTTATCACAAATTATTCTAGTCACACCTGAGCATACGGCTTTTTTTTATAATCTCAAAACGTAGCATTTTCACACAAAAAGGCGGATGCATCCATTTAGAATTGTGTAAAATTACATCGTTTCGAGATTAAATTTGTGCAAATAACGAAAGTAATTTTCAAGAATTGCATGTGACACAGTTGTTTCTCTCTTGATAACATTGACAACTGTTTCCATCCGCACAAAGCGTCTGAATCAAAGGTGATTGATTGTCACTTTAACATTTTCGATTAACATTATGCGGATGAAAAAAAAAACTGATGAATCATTCGGCTAGGCTATTAGCTAGGAGAAATAATTAACTTTTTGGCATACGATATTGAAAAGGCGTGAGAAACATAAGTCGAACAACGACCGACTTATTACATTACATACGATTAGTGTGCGGTCGAGTTCACGTTTTTAAAATGTTATCAGAAAAAATTCCATGACACTCTTAAAGTCCGGCCAAGATGTGCGCACCAGCCATGTGCCGAACGTCATACCAAACCGAACGTCACATCGTACTCTCGACTTAAATGAATATCGTAAATACCGAATTTATACATTTTTGCCAATAAAAACCTAATTATACACGAAATAGAAAAACATAACATTCATTCGATATAATTTATTCAGTCGTTCAGCATCGTCTTATTAGAAATATATGCTGAATGTAAATTTATTATGAGCGTGCGACACTGATGACGCAATATTTCTTTGGAATTTGTTATTTTGTGATCATCCTTTCGAGATGGCACCGCACAATACATAATCAGGTTTTATGGAAGTGGCTCTAATGTCATATCTTCTTTTTTAATCCGTAACATAAGCGTTGAATTGCACGTGAATCCAAAAAAAAAAACAGTTGCTTACGACGAATTTTGCAAAAAAAAAGTTTTCATGTAGAACATGTACGAATGCGTGTGATAATGAAACAACAAGAAATTTGGAACAAAAAAAATCGTAATTAATTTTGATGTTCGATTGAAAAAGGTTTCGTGCGACAAATTTTCCGGAAGAGAGTATTTAAATAAAATGATAATATGGTTGATTTCAATTCAGCCACATAAAAATGGGCATTTTCAAAGGCTATCAGACTAACCAAACACGCAAACTCGGGAAAGATTGCGGAAATCAATCGATTAAAATCAACAGAAAATGTTGAGAAAAAAAGCGGCAGTCTGACACGTACAACATATTTTCAGAGAATTAAGTTACACAAATAAATTTTGTGTCGAAATCAAAACAGCTGCCAATATTTGCAATAACATTTGTGCTCTGAATCTAACTTAATCGCGACTGTGCTGCAATATATACTCAAGTCAATTGAATCCAATCGAAACCACACGAAGTTGATGTCAAACATTTAAAATTAAAACACTCACAATTGGCAATCGGTTTAGTTACATAAATAATAAAACGTTAATTGATGACGAAAAGCAGAACGAATAATGTTTTTTTTTTTTTTTTTGAAACAATATCAAATGCATAAGAATCACATTTTGATCTCGTGCTCAATTGAATTTATAGGGAAAATGAGTGCATCATTTCATTATTGTGCAATGTTCTGTCATTTTCGAGAGAATTTTTATCGTCACTAGTCTATCCGATGGTAGAATTTCATGACAGAATCGATCTCAAGCCGATTTGACGAGTCATGGCCAATGCATTGTGTGCAAATTACAGTTCACTTATATAATGAGATGCAAAATAGTCTTATTTTCATCACTTTGCACTCAATAATAATGTGTGTACGAGGTGCAGTCACTTGACAATGTTATCTAAGCATTGTGCGTGAGCGTTGCTCAATTTGCTATGCGACCAGTTTGCTTCGACATCTATTGAAATTATTATGATTGCTTACCTTGTGATTGTCTGTGTGCAAATAGAACCTGTTGCGCTCTACAGTAAATGTGATTACGGCATTCATAGGCGAGTGAGCGAGCAAAGTAAACAACACAAAACAGAAAAAAATTGTAGAAACGCATACACACACACACACACACTTTGCGATACAAAGTTTGTAATATTGAGTCAAATGTATGTAAAAAGGTGAACTCAATTGGGTGACATTGACAATGAATACCGCATTCTAACAACTCAAAGCATTCATTGTGCTGTGCATACAATTGAAACCAAAGAAGAAGAAAATTGTTCGAAATTGTGTAGTATTCAGTCAGATTTTGTGTCTTTTTTTTTCTCATATCGCTTGACAATTTATTCATAAATATCATGAAAATGTAATAATAACAAAGTGATTAATTTATCAAAAGAAAGAGGAGGAGAGGAGAAGAGAGATCAGCAACCATTTTTATGGTCACAAATGATTTTGCTATTCGTATAAAATGCCGTTATTAAATCAACCAGGAAAATGTAAATGCACATGAATTTATGCTAAGCCACAAGTGAAAACTCTATAAATAAATTACAAAAGAGAAAATGCGGCTCACACATTTACAAAAAGTAACAAAAATACGTCAATGAAATAAAGTATTTATTGATAAAAATTTCATGATTGTGAGCGACAAATCATACCGCTTGAAGCTTGATTTATGTAAAAAAAAACGTATGCAAACCATGTGTGCCGACCATTGAACCAGTTTCATACATCAGTTGGTTTATCCAAACCTTTTTCTTTTCATTCGTTCAATTTTATATTCATCACGTAAAATGTGTGTTTGAGTGCATTTGTTGCATTTTGAAATTCGATGTCTGGCAAAACCAAACGAATAAAACAAAAATTGTGATCAATATTTTCAATGATTTTGTGGGTCGTAGCTGCATAAAAACATATTGCAGTACATTTGGTGTGTGCCATCAAATAATGTTCTCTGTGTTATTTATCTAAGTTTTTTTTTCTTCATCGTTCAACCTACTTAATTCAATTTTAATGATATTCACGTTTTTCTCCCGTTGTGCTTGTTGGAATGCGTTGTTGAGTGTTTTCGCTAGCCGATAACGGATCGAAATGTAAACGAGTGTGCCTAATAGTTCGATATATACTAATGTATTTCATTTCATCCAATTTCAGATCAATAATTTAATGCATCAGATGCGAGATTCGCCACAACCATTAGGTGGATCAGTTGGTTCTATTCCGTCAACATTTATTGGACGAGCATCATCCAGTAGTGGTGATTTGCAAACACTTCAAAAATCATTAAATGTGCATGGCGTTCATTCGACACCAGCATCAAATTTAAAATTCTCCGAATCGGTTCGAAATGCACAGCACGATGGCAGCCCATCAATAGTATCGACACGGAAAATGCAAACATCTCGGAGTTATTCGCATGATTTAAGAAGTCACATAGATAACAACAGTAATTTAAGCAAAAGTGGAAATTCATCGACAAACAGTAGCAACAACAATTTAACCATGCCAGACATATCGCCAAGCAGTTCACAATTCTTTGAGGTGATGTACGTTGGGAAGATTAAAGTCTCCCATAAACGCGTACCATTTTCATTTATCGACGATGCACTTCCAAAATTCAAGGCATACGACACACAACGCATTAAATTATTACAAGCACACATTGCACAACAACAGGTAGGCACAACAATTTTTTATGCCCAATTTTACTGGTTATGAATTAATGGCAATGCATTTATTCGATAGAGATCGGAAGCTGACCAAGATGATGATACAGATAATGTCCCAATGAATGGGCAGAGAAGCAACGGTCTTTTATTGCCACAAAGCTCGAGTCAGTTAGCACCACATGACGAAACACATGAAGAACATGAACAAGATGATGACGAAACTGCCTCTAAAGCATCGAATGAATCAAAAAAATCATTCAACGAAAGAGTGATCGACACACAGTATGAAAATGACAAAGATGACTCGGACGCACCGACTAAAAATCAACTGCTTCGACGAAAAAGTGTTGCGCCAGCTCTTCATAGCACATTAAAAGAGTAAGTTTTTCTTCTATATAAATCGATACATCCATATTCATTAAACGAGCACACTTTCTATCAAACATTTTTTTAAACAAATAAACGTGGAATCACAGCGAAACAAATGCGCCGTCAACTTGTTTCGAAAAAAGTGAAACTGAAATTGATAGCGTTAAAAATACAAATGACGAAGTTCAAGGCGATATGTGAGTTCTCGAATTTATCATAATGCGTTTGTGTGTGTTGTTGATATTTACTTTTCGTTCGGTGATTTTTTTTTTTGCATTACGTTCGAATACGCTTATTTTTTTATTTGCCGCACATGGAATTTGCCGCACATTTGATGTTTTTTTTTAGTTTTTAAGTTGATTTTGTAATAATGCAACTCGTACATGACATGAGTTTGCATAAGTATATTTTCGAATTTTATTTCTCATTGAGCATGGAGCTGTGAATTCTTCAAATTATTTCCTATGAAAAAAATTCTAATTTTCTAAATGCCGTTTGTTTTATTTTACAGGACGCCAAAACGACGAGATCGTTCGGCTTCAATTGGTTCAATACCACAATTCGATCAGAATCGGACGATGGTTTTGTTGGTTGGAAAGGAAGATATTCGTCTGATTAGTCCCGATCGCAAGCAGGTGCTTTTGTATAAAGATATGAAAGATGTGGCCAGTATTTCACAGGGTCACAAAAACTCGGATCACTTTGGTATTATAATTCGAGATTCACGAAATGAAGCCACTGCAAACGGTGGCCATGGATATATTGGATACGTGTTCAAATGTCAATCGGATACAGTCGCCGATGATATTCTAACGGCAATTCAGCAATCATTCATTTCGCATTCGGAGAGCAAGAAAAATCGCAATAAAAATCAAGTGTTTTCATGTGAACACTGTCCAATGCTATGGTATCACAAATTGTGCACCGACGTTGAAGGTTTGAATGACAAGAAAACACAAACATTGATTTTTCGTCGTATCGAACAATTGCCGGAAGATGAACAGGATATCATTTTTGCAAAATATTATGGTGCCGAAGAAATCGCCGATCATTCATTAGCTGAACAAAATCAATTTTTAATGATGCTATTGCGTGCACATAGCGAATCACGTCAACAGCGACATGTCCACGATACGGCTGAAAATCGAACGGAATTTTTAAATCAGTATTTAGGCGGTAGCACCATATTTATGAAGGCAAAACGATCATTGACCAGCTCTTTTGATCATTTGCTGAAACGGAAAAATAGCAAAGATGAAGTTGCGGTAGCCCAAAAGGAAACAAAAGCAAAGGTAAAAACATAATTTGGAATTTGCAAAATTTGAAGATTAAATTAAATTGACATTTATTTTGCAGGAGGTCAAAATTTCATCAAACAATAGTGAACACAGCTATAAGAAGAGCGATGAGGAAGTAGACGGACCAAGTGTTTCACGCCCTAGAAACGGTTCAATCGACCTTTCAGGCGCACCTAAACTCTTTAAAGAAGAACCAAAATCACCGATGATGGATATGTAAGTTTCGAGCAAATCACATCCGATCTACGTTTTACTAAAAAAAATCTCCTTTTCCTTTTCACAAAAAATAGATTTATGAAAGTTGGTAATAGTCCAAAAGAATCGAGCAAAACGGGTTCATGGCGACAAGAGATGTTACAACGTGTCGTTACACCATCGAAGAATGCGAATGACGCCGATAATCTGATGTCACCGCTTCGAGTACGAAATCGTCAACCGATCCATATGAAAAAGCGCACTAAAGATGATTATCGTGAATTGTGGAAAACTGCAATTCGTCAAACAATTCTGTTGATTCGCATGGAAAAAGAGAATGAACGTCTCCAAGCACGTAAAGATGAACACGAACGGAAAAAAATAAAATTGGATTATGATGAAATATTGCCGGCCGAAAAGGATGCTGTACATCGTTGGGACGTTTTTATTGGAAAAGAACTCAATGTGGCCGGTGTTGTGGCTCATAAATGTGATCCAAAAGTGATTTTACAAGCAATCAAAGCTGGAGTACCTCGTTCAATTCGTGGAGAAGTTTGGAATTTCTTGGCCGAACAATTTATGCTGACCACCGCACCAGTTGACACAAAAAAATTCCCAAATTACAATACGCCTTACAGTGTTCTATTGAAGAGTCTAACCGAACACCAACATGCTA